AAGAGTTTCGGAAGGGCAAAGTAATTACAATTATAACTCCTACATTTTAGCCAATAAAGCAGCTTTTTGTGTTAAGAGGAAGGAAGTTATGGGCATCTTGATTCACCTTCTTTCCTGATTTGAATTGCTAAAAGGTTTTATAGGCTGTAATAAGGAGAGAGAGCAAAGTTCAAAGCTTAAAAGTATGAAAATTTGAAATTTAAAAATTGCTGGTTTTGACTACAGATATTTCTAGGAAAAATTTAATTAGGATGTTAAACAATAATTTAAGGCATTTTAAGATAAGTTTTTCTTTTTAAGGCAAACATTGCTAACATTAGGCATCCTAGTCCTCCCTCCCTCACAGTTCTTTTCCTCTGATTAATTCCCTACTAAAATATCATTTTATTAGAATTCTTTAATGATTCTGCAATTGTTTTTTGTGCTATGACAATCTAATACACTAAATCAAAGCTCTCTTGAAAAAAATTTACTTCAATTTTGGTATTTGCAATCAGATAGTTTTTCATTCCCACCATTCCTTTACTTAGGGAAAAAAGCATTTAAAAGTTGTAAAGTTATAAGACAATTTCTGATCATTAGAAAATAAAAATATTTTTGAATCTTCTATTAACATAATTTTACTTATACCTTTTTAAAAATTCTAATGTACCATAAAATATGAAATATTTCTTTCAGAAGACATCTAGCTGTATGCCCACATGAAAACATTACAGTGAAACCCATTAATTTGAACAATTACTATGAATTAAAAGTAAATAAAAAGATATCTTGTTGTAATAGTGCTTAATAAAATTTAATGCATAGCATTTGAAAATATTTTTAGTATATTAATTTAGTATTGGAAAATAAAACTGTTTTGAATATTCTATGTAATAATAACTGTTCTCAGTTTTACTTGTACATAAAACAAAACAAGGGCATAGCTTATACTTTAAAGATTTAAAATTAGTGACTATTTCAAGTTGAAAACAAATCCTTAATTGTTTTCCAAAAAATGAAGTAAATCAGTGTCTTGCTAGTATATATCAAACTATAATGAATTGAAAATAAATCATGAGGATCATGTATTAAGAAAGAAAAGTTGGATTTTAATTATCTAATTCTGAAAAAAAACTATTCTACATTTATTTTTATTAGGGGAAAAATCAAACCAAACTTATAAAATGTGTATAACTCTTTGTAATCTAAATAGTAACAAAACCTAACAAGCAAAATGGCTTATGTTTTTAAATTTATGAGATAAATTTAAATTTTACATAATGGGCAGCTGCAGAGGAAATATTGATATTTCCTGATTTTGATATCTCAAGAGGCTAAGAAATTATTGAAGAAAGGATGCTTTTTTAAAGATGCAAGTATATTTCTAATTGGCCCAAATCTTCCACAGTAAACTTTTACTTGGCCTGGAAAGTAAAGGGTTTACTACATACTAACCAGCATGCTATTATAATCTTTTTAGGCTAATGAAATAAATCCAATTAGAAAATGTGGGTAAAATTTATTGAGTTTGGCTTATTAAATTCAGGGTCAGTGGTTGCTCTGCTCTGCTTTTTTATGTTTTGCCAAATACTAAAATGCACTTCATTCAGCTGCGTCCCTCTTCCTATCACTTTCTAGTCATTTCACTGTTATTTAATATTGTATTCAGAGACTGAGAATCCAAAAAGGATGATTGTGTCCTAATGCTTATTGAAGTTTTTATGATGTGAAAATTTATATATTATATTTTATATATTATCTCACTTAATTTTCATAATTAAGATGGAAACCCAAGTTTCTGTTTGCTCTGAACTACTGTACTGTACTACTACATAATTTCTGTATCTTGTTTGGTAGGAGTGAAATGGCCCATTTGCAAGGCAACTCCAACTTTTGGGCCACCTTTCTTCATTCCCAAAGGTTGGGCCTGTTAAGGTCTCCTAAACATTGTAGAGTTTCTTGAACTCTAAGGATGGGTTTTTCTTTGGCTTGAAGTCCCCATTGCCTTTCATTACTTCTTCCTCTGCAGCTGTCCATGCTACCCATTCAGAGTCTTTTCAAGGTTTTGGGATGAGCTACTCTCATGCCTTTGAATTTGTTGATTCCCCTACCTGAGATACTTTATTCAAATACAGTTTATTTGTGAAATGAGAAGATAGAGTTTTTCAGAAATCCTTTAAACTTTGTGTGTCTCCTTCTTGGCTTTCCCTAGTTTGGGTCAGGTTTTCTAATTGCATTCTCTATTCAACCTTGTAAACTGTTGTCTGCTTTATAGCTGCTTCTTCCCACTAGACTGTAAACTTTGTGAGGGTAAGGACCCTAGTGTCCCTAGTAACTTTGCATTCAAAAATAAAATGCAAATTAGCTCATTCCAGGAAGAACCCTTGAGGAAGATAATTTAGATAGTCCTCACTAAACCAACAATAGGACAAACAGTACTCTGTTACTTTCCACCACTTACTATATTACCAGCAGTTTTGTTCTGTCAGGGTTTTAAAATAGTGTGGTTTCATAGAGAAAAAGAACTGTATGAAACAAAGAAATGTAATATGTGATGGAAGAAATGAGTAGATAACCTTTATATTAATCCCACAGTGAAAAAGGAAGAAATATCTTCCAGGGACAGTGATGATCAGGAGAGATATTTTCCACAATAAGTTACAAAATCTTTGTCTCTATAAATCTTCTCAGTATCATTCTATTATCTATAGCATCATAGTTATGTTTCCTTTTTTATTGCAAATAGTTTATTTAGCCTTTTTATCTCTTTTCCCCCCTCAGTGCTGGAAATTTGTCTATTTTTAGTTTTGTTCATGATCTCTTTTTTATTTCGTTAATTTCTACTTTTATTTCCTTCCCTCTTTTTTTTAGCTTATGTTGCCTTTTTTATATTTATCTTACTAATTTTAAGTCTTTCTACTTTCCTAAACAAGTATTTTAGATGATAAATCTTCTTCAAAGTGCCCCTGTAACTGTATCTCATCACCTTTATTACATAACATTTTGTTATTTATTATTTAATTTTCATTATTATTTTTGACCAATAAGTGATGAATTTGAAAATGTTTTTAAATTTTCAAACAAAAAAAAACTTTTCACTTTTTTCTTACATTCTAATTTTTACTTTATTTGGAAGTTATCCATGTTTATTATTTTAGAGGTTTTTATAGCTATTTTAGCATGTATCAAAGTTAACAAAAATTGGGCTGGGGATGTGGCTCAAGCGGTAGCGCGCTCACCTTGCATGCATGCGGCCCGGGTTCGATCCTCAGCACCACATACCAACAAAGATGTTGTGTCCGCCGAGAACTAAAAAAAAATAAATATTAAA